CCTCCATTGTGTCGAGGCCAGGGATTAAGCGCTGTAACACACATCAAATATTACAGTCCCCAATCTGGCCATTTTGAAAAACACATCTCTCTCTCTCTTTATGGCAATTAGACCAATATGTCAAACTATTAGCGTCATGTGCTCTTGTGTTTTATTCATAAGAGCTTCAAAATCCAGTTATTTTTGACAAATGATCTGTGATGTTTTAAAACGTGCTTTGATACCACTCTTCTTCTGTTATGAAAATACGACTGCCCAAGGCTACTTCCTGTTTACCGAACAGCAGCCTTCTGTACATTCCGCTTTATTTATTGTTTTATATCTTTGCACGAAAACAGTAAAAGCTTGTTATAACGAGAAGTGACAGAAGCAACAGTGGCGTCATCCATTCTCGCCGCACCAAACAAGGTTAAAAAGCTTTTACAGGGAAATGTACTACGCTTTGAATGAGCCTTGAAGCACGCTATAATGTTAACATTTTAAAAGTAAATAGAGTGTAAAGTACTTGAAGTCGCATATAGCTAATGGAATAGGATCATGTTTTCCATTGTAGCCAGGTGGCAGAGTGGTTAACCCTTCTTATATGTGTAAGTATTTGGGTGCTTCAAAGGCAAGGATAATGATTTTAGTCATAGAAAACGTGTATTATTACATTATTTACCAGGTGCGATGCAAATAACAGTTAGACCTGAATATTTAAAGATGCATTGTGTAACTTTTTTGGTGGAGGGTCCATCAAATGCCTTTTTTTTTGTTTTGTGGAGATGCTATTGCTTTGTCTGGAATGTTTCACAGTATGGTATTAAAACTTTCTGTCATCTTGGAGACCACACCAGCCCAAGACTACATTTACACTGAAACCGTATCACCGTATCGGAAACGATCTGCGTCCAGACACATTGTTTCTGTGTCCACAAGCCTTCCCTATCCACACAGCTTTGAGCATATTTGTTTACGTTTTACAGAAACAAAACTTAAAACCTCATGGCTAATTTGCATAAACTAAGTGCTCAAAAAACTGCTCGCTATCTGATGCGGTTCAGCTTCTGTCGGACTAAAGGCCATGACTCAGTGGAATATATGTGTTTTTTCTGTGACAGAGGGATGTTCTGCTGATGGTGAGTCTGTTTTGTGCTTCTTTCGTGTTGGAGATGGTTCATGTTAAACTTTTCCGAGATTATACGTCCGCAGGTCATATGTATAGACCGTATATGTGAATGGACATACATCCTAGTCTCTTAGCGTTTTGGTGGTGAATTAGCTACCTTGCGGCGCATAAAACTACATCAGCATATCAGAGTGTCAGTGTTTTCAGACGTCCACATCCGATCCGTACTCAAATGAATTAGTGGGAGCTGGCAGCACCAGATCGTTCCGTCTCTGGAGCCGTTTTCAATCAGATTAGTGGGGACGAACACTGCATCCGTAACGAAAACAACTCAAATACATACTGGTGTGGATGGGGCCCAAGTTATAGGACAGATTTGTGGAGAGATGACCCTCTCACAGTCAGAGGGTTTGTTTTTTAGGTGTTTTTTTTTAGGTGTTTTTGAGCTATAAAACCACCTGTAATTGAATAAATTTAAGGTAGAGATGTTCAGTGTCATACTGTGGAACATTCCAGGCAGAGCAATGACATTTCCATAGAAACAAGCAGGTGACGGACCCCCAAACAAAAAGGTACACGTAAGTTATCATTCATCATTTCAAAGTTTGTGTCTAGTATTTTTTGTATGAGGTCTTGTGGGAATGGCAGTCATTTTTATAGATAACATTGTTCCCATCATTGGAAAACAACAACCATCATAACCTCTTTATTGTTTGAGAATACAACAATAAAAGTAAAATGTGTGCCCTCCACAAATCAAAAGGTGATGACCATTACCGTTATCCTTTCCTCGTAATGAGTTTGGTTTTAAAGGTACATTCAAACGATAAGAACCAAATAGCTGTGCGTTTTTGTCTGTTTACTTGATATCTTTCTTTGTCACTATACTTGCTAATCTCCAAAAACAGAAGTTGTTAGAGTCTGAAGTTAAAGTAAATAATGAAACCAGTGTTAAAAAGTGCAGTAGAGATCATGAGAAATACACAATACCAGTTAGGCCTAACCCAGCCTAAAATAATCATGTTAAAAGCCACAGAGCTGGTTGAAGTTTAAAAAGTAATGGACTCCTGATATAGACATATACAAACACGCAGCTTTAGTGTGAAGTGTATTTTTCTGTCTTTTCAAACAACCATGAACGCATCATGCAAAAATAGCAACTTTGGTATTCAAGCCTCTCTTTTGAGAAAGCTGAAACTTGGTAATTAACACTAGAATTCAGTAAAACATGTGAAAAGTACAAAGTAAGTAAAAAGTACTGATGGGAAGTTAAAATGGTACCCACTAACTATCTACTACTTGAAAAGGATACTACATGGTTTATTAGTTTTAGCGAGAAGGAAGCATACAGCAGCAAAGATCAATATAGAAAAATACATTGTTCAGATACTGAGACTGTAATGTTTCTCGGTTTGTTTGTGCAATTATAGCTTCTTAAATAGCAAATGCTTAACAATTGACACTTATGTCAGCTCATGTCATTAACATTACCTGGAGGTGTGATGCTAACTGTAGGCACTGCTCTGTCTCAAGTTCTCTAAAGCCTTCTCCATCCACCTTTCCTCAAGAACTAGTTCTCATTTAATATCAGAAATGTCAGATATGAAATTAGGTATTCTAAAGAATTTATACATTCTCTTATACAATATTTTGTCCTATTTTCGGAATGTTCCTTTTAAGTAGCCTGATTCATCAGCTGGTTTCACTTCATGGAACCTGTCTGACCTCGCAGCATTAGGATTCGTTCGCTCGATAGTAGGTGGGTACTTTTTTTATTTATCCAGTTGCTGCTATTTGGTTGTGACGTATGTAATGCGCCTCTAACGGGGCTAACTGGTATATTATGCTTTTCCCAAATCCCGTAGGAAGAAGGGCAATAACAGCTTTCTCTTTGATAAAAGTCACCAAACATTCTCTTTATTTCAGCTTTAAATCATCGATCTCAGGAATCGTTGCCAACACAGAATATATGGCTCTTTGCTGACTGGCTGGTGCCCAGACTCACACTTCCAAGGTTCTTGCAAACCATCTAGTGTATTCCGATTCCTGACCTAGTCGCTGGAGCGGACTGGGTGGAGGCACTAGGTGGCACCAGCCTGGCTACCGTTTAAGTGCTACAGCACTAATATTGTGGTCACTGAAGCCCACAGGCACAGAAACGATGTTAGTGCATTTCTGAACACTATTTGTAAAGATGTACAAAACACGTAGAAGTTTGTGTTCCATCACAAATCATTTTTTCTCTAGTTGGAACATTTACAAGTTGCTTTAAGTTGCATATATTGGCTGTGAAACATTCCAGACGAAGCAATGACCATAGAGAAAAGCATTTGACAGACCACCTCCACCAGAAAAGTTTCACAATACAAATGTGTGGTTTAAATCAACATGGTGTTTTTTCTTGAGTTTTCAGACAATCTAAATGCTGTATAAACTTGCTCATGTATGCAATGGGTCATGTTGATTACTGCTGAACATTCTGCCATAGATATACATGCAGAACACCGGCAGCATGATATCCCTGCAAAGTATTAATAGACCAATCAGTTATTTCTGTCTCCAAAGGCCGATAGTTGCTAAGACAGCCTCCCAAAAGTGTTATCCACAAACTGTCATAATGTATTTCTATGGATTTTGGACCATGGAGAGCAAAAATAAATATTTCCACATCAGCCTAAAGTGAAGCTAGCTTACTGTCTATCTGAAATCTCATCAAATCAGAGCAGCTCAAAGCTCAATGCGAGCTTTGGGGACGCAGATTAACTTCACAGGAAATCCTATTTTTTAAACTCCGGCTGTATTTAGGTCTATAAAGATACGCTTTGATAAACACGCCAGGCACGGTGACAGATACTTTTACCCATAACATTTTGAAATTTGAATACTTTATTGCAAGTTTTCCCATAAGCATTCTTATCTCAGGCATTTTGTAAATCTATTTTTCTTGTTTTTGCTTAAGAATTCATTTTGCTTTATGCATGTGATGTTACAGTGATCCTCCATTAAGCTCTATTTTTATCTTGTTGATGATAATACGATTGGCTGCGTCAGATTCCCGTTTTTTCCACGCTTACTCTGCTTTTGTATGTCATTCCCGTATTAAGGCCAAACATTAAGCCCAAAGCACTACAGTGTAAACAAGAATCCCACAATCAAATACTACTTAAGAATATTTTTATGTACTCAAATTTGTACTTGTACATGTATTTCAGTCAAAGTTACAAAACAGTTGCCCTAGAATTTTCGCTCGGATGGTCTCAGCGTCAGAATAATCTTTCACAATCCAGGTTTTGAATTCCCGTTATGAAAGCCCACAATAAAGGCATGCTTCATCTGACCGTAATACCGAAGAAGACAGCTTGAGTTGAAACGCCGAAGGGGGGGTTGGTCGGAGAGAGAGAGAGTGAGTAAGGGAGGAGGAAAGGAAAGTAGGAAACTAGGGAGGAGGAGCCAGGGAACATCACTGTCACCTGTTTGCCGGTTCGTTAGCTCGGAGCGATCCAGTCTCTCTCGTTGGGGGGGAGAAGGAGCTTTTGATGCCTAATTTGACGCTTGGTTGGGCGCTTCGTGCATGGCTGGGCGCTCCGTGCAGCGGCCATAGTCCCGTAGTCAGATAGAGCAGGGTCTCGCCGTGGTGTATTCTCAAACGGGACAGTTCCAGGATGAGGAGACAACACAGGGGCAACGAGGGCTACAACCCCAGAGAGGTAAACGAAAATTCACAAGGAGTTCGCTGGTTTTGGAATGCAAGACTTTTCGAGCATTTCTCTCTCTATTTTCTCTGAAGTTTTACCCAAATCCTAGAATCCAATGTTGTGTTAATGCTTCGATAGATATAGATTTGTGTTGTGGCTTAAATTAATTGCGTTTTCTATCTTTCTTTTCTCTACAGCAAGCCCTCGATTCCAACCTGAGCAACCTGATCAAACGCAACAATGAGCTGGAGTCACTTATGGGGAAACTCATCCAAACTTGTCAACACGTAGAGGTAAGAAAAAGCCCCAATATTCCTATTCGAAGTGACATAGTGCATATTATAATTTTGATATTTGACTTATTTTTGCATGCAGTTTTATATTGTATTTTCAGTCTTAGTCACCAAACCCGCTGACCCGTCCTCTAAGTGGCATGACTCACAGCTGACAGTTGGATTTAGCATGTAGCAATGGTTAGCACTTTATGGTACAAGTGAAGCTATGCAATATTTGTATGTTGTTGTTGTTGTTGTTTTATGATCAACTATAATAATACAAATTCATATAGCGCTTCTAAAAACACAAAGACACTGTGCAAAGAATACGGTTTTAAAAGGTACATACAAAAAAACAAGGTATTCAGAAAACAAATGTATAGCATAAATATAAAATAGTATATACAGTAAAAATAATAATACAGTTTTGGTGTTTTTTGTAAATTTCCTGTATTATTGAACGTGAATATGGGTTGGTTGTAATCCTATTGGATGTATGGCGGTTATGCATGATATCTTAATCTTCTTATGATCGGGGACAAAAGGGGACAAAAGGCTAGAATAGTGTCAGCATGGGTCAAAATATGCATGTGAAAATAGACAATTTGAGATTATTGTCAAATTATAGGTCAAATAAAATACTTTATGAAATAGAATTTAAAGAAAACATTTACACTTCATATTTAATCAGACTTCTGTGCACATTTGTCCACTTTCAGAAACAATTAAAAGACAACTTAAATCGTCTTTTGTTTTGGCGTTCAAACTTTGGATGCTACAACACGCGATGTATTTAAAAATGCATCATTTGATACATTTCTTATGAGCGGAGTCACTTTTATGAGTTAGCATGTGCGTGTGTTCAGAGCCCAGATGTAAGAGCCCGCAGCTCCATGTTCACTGAGGGGCTTTAAATAAAACACCGCCCCAGGGTCAAAGGTCACAGACTTATTTGATCAACAGTCATAAAAAACATCTGCAGAATAGAAAGTCTAACTATATTCTATTTCTGTTTGTTGTGTTTTGAGAATTAAATTGTGTCTCCATGAAAAATTAAAGGTCCTATATTAATCAAAACTGACAAAAATGAGCTATAAACCATGTTGTTACCTTCTCACGTTGTCACCTTGTGTTTTTTTTTTTCATTCACAGTAACCCTGCAATATTAGTTTATCTACAGCTTCAATGCTCAAAATACCAAATTCCACCTTGTGATGTCATAAAGTGGCAGTTTTCAAGTTAACAGCTACTTTTACCTTTTGTTCAGCAGAGACTGGCAATTCCAGGGCTGAAATTACCCAAATAATTCTAGGTTCTTCTAATTCTAATTCTGAAGGTGTATGGAGTTTAAAAAGACAGCGGAGCACTTCCTGTATTACCACATGACATCACAAGGTGGAACAGAGTTTGTGAGAAGAATTCAGCCTAAATATGCAGGATTTGTGTGTTAAGCATGTGTGAATGAATCAAAACACCACTTGAGGTATGTTTATGATGAGGGAACAAGATCAGACAACATGGGACCTTTAAATAATACAAATGTCATATTTCCATGTCATCTTCTAGTCTCGTTTAGAGTTAGTCTAGACATTTCTTAAGACAACAAACATTAATTGGTGACCCAGTTAAGAGGGAAAAAAATGCACTAGACTGCTTCCATTTGCTGAGTCATGCTTTGCCCAATCCGTAATCTACAATTATTAATCCTCGGTGTTTGAACAGTGAGATCTGATCCATGTGAGGCTGTGTTAGGCCGATTGTCATAATGTTCTGCACAATTGTTATTATTAAAGGGCCCATATTACACTGTTTTCTGATCTATATTATAATGTTGCTTCCTCATCAAAAACATGGAATTGTGATTTGTTTCATTCACACGTTTAACACCAAAACCCTGCGTATTTAGGCTGAGATCTAATCTGAAATGGAAAACACACGGTTCCACTTTGTGATGTCACGTGGTAATACAGGAAGTGCTCGACTGTGTTTTAAAACCCCATACACCTTCACTAGAATCATTTGGATAATTTTGGTTTTGGAAATGCCAATCTCTCCTAAACTAAAGGTTTTTAAAGGTAGCTGTTAACTTGAAAACTACTGCTTCGTGACATCACAAGGTGGAACAGAGCATTTTGAGCTTTGGAGATGTGGACAGACTAACAACGCAGGATTAATCAAACATGCGTGAATGAAACAAAACACAATTCCAAGTATGTTTTTGATGTAGTAACAGCATTATAACATGGCTTAAAGCTCACAAAAATCCTTTAATCAATTAAGAATACAAGACTTTTAATCAAAAATAGTGATGCAAGTTGAGTCTAAAAAAAGCAAGTTGATAGAAATTTGTTTTAATATGATTTTCCTCTGGGTTTTTGCCTGTTTTGTAATGCTCTAATTTGCGTAATGTTGCTGCCGGGATCTAGTTTGTCATACAGTTTACTGGGAACTGCTAAAATTGATTAGACTAAACCCAACACGCATGACATCTGTTATGTACAAACTAGGCTGATAACATTTGACTTACGACAACTCAAAACTCTCTCTTTTTGAAAGTTTATTCTCCTTTAATTATGTCTGTAAATGTCAGCTTTTATTACGAGTTCTGTGGGCGGATTTCAAACACCACTGTCTTTCTTCCTGGCATGTCGTCCTTATTCGTATCTCGGATTTTGCACGACATTTCAAATTCAGTGCGTGTAATTCCAGTGTAATTTTGGTTCAAGTTGAGTTTTGGATAATTATTTGATGTTGCATTGATTCACGCCCACAAATAAGACTTAGATTTGCGTGTGTGTGTAGTTCTGAATGCATTCCTCAACTATTAAATAACTTATATTTTTGTATACATTTTGAAAAGCAAATGAAAACAGTACGTGAGATCGGAAAATTTACTTTACTTCCTGTCTGGGGCTTTGTTATACTTTAATCTGAGCTTTATTTCAGTGTCCCTGCACTGGGCCCTGGGTAACTGTTGAACATTCTGCCAATACACACAGATGTAGAACTCCCCGAGCGCAATGTCACTGCACAGTATCAATAGTACTACCATATGACTATTGATTTCGTATTAGATAGTTGGTTGAACAGGTAATGTGTGTACTTCTATTGCAAAGAACCTAAACTGGGTAATATTTCAGATTAGGGACCACGTATTAATAGGTAGTTAATAGTAAAATGCATAATAATAAGTGCTTAATTACATCTTTGTTAGTATTTATGAAGTACTTTCAATGCATTTTTGTCTAAGGCCTTATTTTGCAAGTACTAACCCATTAACTATTTTCTTCCCATTAAAGTAGTGGAGATTACAATCAATGTTTTTGTGCATACACTGAAATCTTAAGTGTTTGATTAATACCAACTAATAACTAAGTAACAGCTAATTAACATACCAATTACTACTTAGTTAGGTGTTAATATGTGGTCCCTAAACTAAAGTGTTACCCTAAAACTGTTGTATTTTTTGACTATTTCATGTTTTATTTCATGGTTTAAGATGATTTAAAGTTACTTTTGCCAACATGTCAACTACTACAAACCATTTTCCAAACCCTAACCTTAACTATAACCCACCGTAACCAATTCTTAACCTATATTCGAACCCTTGTTCTAAAGTCATCGCCTCAGATAACTGATCACAACAGACGTCTAGCATTAAAGGTTCTATATTACACAAAACTGCCTCTTGTGAACTGTCAAGTAAGAATCATGTTACCTTCCCAAAATATTCCTTGAGTTGTGTTTTGTTTCCTTCACACATATTTGAGTAATCCTGCATTAGTGTGTTAGTGTGTCTCCAGAGATCAAAATGCTCTGTTCGATCTTGTGATGTCATGTAGTAGTAGTTTTCAAGTTAGTATTGACTCTTTCCCTTTTGTTCTGTAAAGATTGGTAATTCCAGGGCTGAAATTATCCAAATGACTCTAGTGAAGGTGTTGGGGGGGAAAAAAAAAAAACAAAAAAACACACACACACACACACTCACACACACTTCTTGTATTACCACATGACATCACAAGGTGGAATATTAAAGAGTGTTTTCCATTTGAAAGAAAAATTCAACCTAAATATGCAGGATTTGTGTGTGGGGAAAAAAAAACCAAAACACAACTACACAACTATATTAACAAAATGTAGCCCTTACTAAAAAATGTAAAAGTGGGCAAGGTACAAACCTGAAGCACAGCGAGTGAGTTTGCACCTTGTCCACTTTTACATTTTTTAGTAAGGGCTACATTTTGTTATTTGTTATTTCAAGTTAACCCTCATAGAGCAACTGCACTGCTACTTTTGACTTTTTTATGACTCAGTGAAGCTCTTCCTCTTCTCTTCATCTACAACTACAGGTGTATTTGTGATAAGGAAACAACATTATAACATGGATCAGAAAAGAGCGTAATCTTTTCTTTAATCTTAATCTAGCCATTGCAAGATAGGGCCAATGAGTCAGTGTATTCTTTCCGATACATAGAACCTTCAAGACGTTCTGATTATTTGGAGTTTTGAATTCTCCAATAGTTTCTACCTGACCAAAATCAGAATATACAGACAATCCAATAACATTTCCATCTGATGTTTGCCCTTACGTGAACATACTTTTTAATACACTTCTAAAACTAATGATAAAACACGCTGTCTACAGATACTAGATTTCGGTACATTATGCTCCCCAGCTGTCCAAATGATGTGCATGAATCCAATTAGCATTACTGAGGAGACAGATGCACTGACATCGCTATAGTAACAGCACTTCCTATTCCCGACACCCAGTTCCGACTGTCTGAAAACGCTTTCCAGTTGACATGAGGTTGCAAAATTGTTTCAGCGTGTGATATATAAAAAACATATTATTAGCAGTATGGCAGTTGGGAGACGTTTGGCTGGCGAGCTCTCTTCACTGCGATGGTGTTATTAAACCAACTGTCACTACAGCATTGGCACATCCAAAAACAACTGAGAGAATGCCACTGCTTCCTGTCCAGGTTTCTTGCACAGTCAAACACTATGCAGCATGTAAAAAGGTAGAAGCAGTCAAGTATTTTCAATGGGAGATTACGTATTGTGTGTCAAGCTGTGGTCTCTTAATAGGGACGTTTTTATAGACGGTACAGACTGTGGAGAGCTCAGAGAATCAATTATCGTGTAGCATGGAAAAGGGTCAGTTTTTCTGCTTAAGTTCTGCATGTCACACCACTTCACCGGAGTGACTAAGGGTCTTTACAGTGGATAAAGGAATTTAATTGACGAGTGGGTGGTTCCACAAGTGTATTTCAATATGGACCGCTGGATACAGGAAATACCGAGCCCACTTAAAGGTCCATTATGTAAGTTTTCTGTCATCTGGAATGTTTCACAGTTTCACATGGCATTAAACCTTTCAATCTTCATGGAGACCAAATCAGACCAAGTTACAGGTCAGATCTGTGCAGAAGTGACCCAACTCGCAGTCAGAATGTCTGTTTCCTCTGTATTTTAGAGCTATAAAACCCCCTGTAATTAAATAAATGTAAGGTAGACCTGTTTAAAGTCATACTATGGAATATTCCAGGCAGAGCAATGACATAACCATAGAAACAAACAGGTGACAGACCCTCCACCACAAATGTTACACGATGCACCTTTAAACGTTCAAAGTAGCTATCTTTCCAGCGCTAACTTTCTTTAGTTTACAGTCAAATTTTAGGTTTCTATAATACACCTAATTATTATTATTTTCCTGACAGTGTTTTTTAAGTGGTACCAGTTTTTTTTTTTTTTTTTTTTTTGATGATTGAAGATTGACAGAAACCAAATAATCACACTGTATAGAGGGAAAAGAAAAAAAAAATCACATATTCCCAGTTTCAGTTCCTTGTTCTAATCTCCATTTTGAGGACTATTTGTTTGGAATTGTTTATTTCCATGGCAATTCAATTCATTCACTCACAACCATAATTATTAATGTCTAGGCTTGTCACAATAAAAAATTTTGAAGTTCAAAATATTGCAGAAGTAAATATAGATGAAAAATGATCATATTTAAACTCATTTATGCCACTGAAACAATAATCCTAATGCAGAATAACAACAAAAAAGTAACAGTAACAATATTCTAAATGTATAATATATAAAAAAAAAAAAAAAAAAAAACATGAGCTCATGAGCTATCATGTAAGCGTTTTGTGTTGCATTTTTGTATGAAAAGTGGTCTAGAAATAAAGTTTGATTGATTGATTGATGTATTGAGCAATAAGTGGGTATAGCAATTTTCTCAATGTGATTCACTGTTTTTATCTTTGTATTGTATTATTTCCTTAGTGTTCTTGACTGTGTTAATATGTGTTCTGTAAAGTATCTTTGAGTGTCCTGAAAATCACTATAGTATTATTATTAGTAGTAGTAATTATCATGACAGGCCTTCTGACGTCAAGACACATTCGATGACATCTGAATTTTGACTTTTCAGTGTACATTTTTCCTGAGAATAGCCACAGACAAACCTAAAGTTTCTGAACAGCCCTTCCTTTCTCTACGCACATCTAACAACTTCACATTCTACCAGCGCACAATATTACACCCTCAGGCCCGCGCTTTCTCCACTTGTCACTCAGGCTCGCTCCGAGAAAAGAAGCCAAATGACAGACTATCTTCCTGGAGACTCGATGGACCAGCTGATGGATGAAAACTGCCACCCTGTCCCTGAGTGGAGATCATACACCCCCCTTGGCGCGCGCCGGCTCCTGCCCATCCATCTTTGTGTTTACCTAATCCCGTCTTTATGTCTTCTTTGCCAGGTGAATGCATCTCGTCAGGAGGGCAAACTGTTGGAGGAGTGTGACATGCTCATTGACATTATCCAACAACGCAAGCAAATCATCGGGAGCAAGATCAAGGAGGGGAAGGTGAGACGGAAAGTGACGGACAAAAGCCAAACCAGACACCATTTATTTGTAGCTAGGTGGTAGTGGTTTATAGCGCATCACTCTGTCCACAGCTCAATTTTCCCCAGACATTACAGGCTAAAGTACTCCATTTTGTTACTTAAAGGTTCTATATTACCCAAAATTGACTCTTGTGAGCTTTTATCCCTGTTATAATGTTCTTACCTCCTCAAAAAGATAGCTGGAGTTGTGTCTGTAATCCTTTATTATTACTCTCTACATTATTACTGTCTACACCTCCAAAGCTCAAAACGCTCTTTTCCACTTTGTGATGTCGCAAAAGCTGTAGTTTTCAAGTTAACCTTTTTACCTTTTGTTCAGTAGGGATTGACAATTCCAGGGCCGAAATCATCCAAATGATTCTTGTGAAGGTGTATGGAGTTTAGAAACACAGTGGCGCACTTCCTGTATTACCATATTGCATCACAAGGTGGAACAGTGTTTTCAGTTGCAAAGAAGACCACAGCCTAAGAGCCTGTTTACACGAGAACACTTGCGGGTAAAAACAACAAAATATTTTATCGGAAATGCCTTTCGTTTAGATGGTGACGGCGTTTTTGGGGCTTAAAAACGCAAAAATCTGAAAACTAACCGCTGTAGCGTTTCCGTCCACACTGCCCAAGACTCAAAACTCTGGTCATATCTGTTCATGTCGTGTATGCGTTTACGTCACATACATCACCACCTAGCATCACCACCTAGCCGCCTGGCATGCATACCCAATCGAATTCCACACACTTTTGCGTCACCGTATGAACACAGATTTCCCCCTGACAACGCTCATCTAAACACGGAATAAAAAGTGAAGACGCAACGCCGCTTTTGTGTCTTCTGTTCAGACCATCATCATATAGACGTAGCCTAAATATGCAGCATTTGTGTGTTAAACGTGTGAATGAAACGAAACACAACTCCAGGTATGTTTGTGATGACGTAAAACATTATAACATAGATCAGAAAATAGCGTAACATGGGCCGTTTAAGTCAAAGTACAGATACAGAGGCAAAAAGTTACTCAAGTAAAAGTATTAACGTACCTGTGTTTACCATGTTATTTGTATTCTTATGTCCTTGTCCATCGTCAAGAACTTTGAGGTTGTATGAATTGATTCGAAACAATTGCCTCTCAGAGACTATTTTATAAAGTGTTGAAGTTGATATTTACTGGGACAAAACAATTTTTACTTTACTACGTGACAAAACTGGGTACAGAACCTTCAAGAGAGCAAGAAAGCGTGGTCGTGCGGGAAAAAGTTGTTATTATGAAATCTCGGTTACATCCAGTTGACCTGATCCTCATATGACAGATGACAAATATCCATCTCCCTTACGGGCTAAAACCGGATTTAAACTCCTGGAAAGAACAGTCAGTCCAACCAAAGTATCCCGAGGCAAAAGAGGGAGTCAGTGTTAGCTTGGAAAATAATTTTGAATGATTTATTATTTGGTGTATTGTGCAAGACACTAGGCCAGTTCCCTTGTTTCGATTTTAGCACGATTCTGATTTCGCAGGTATTTGTTTTTCGTCGCTTTTGGGATGATTTTGTTCATGGATTCTTGGCGAGGACTACTGTTGATGAAATGTCCTTTGACCTAAATCCAGCAGCTGACCTCAATCTGTCTTCTAAAATCTCCGCTCATGGGGTGCACCAATGGACAGTAAATTTGAACCAGCAACCACATGTACATGCAGCATTAGATTGAAAAAACAAAACAAAACCCAAAACATGATTAATTGTATGCAATATTTTGCATTTTTATCATCTTGTTACTTATTTCGTTGCTTTCAAAATGGTACGTTTTAAAATGGAGGATAGCCATAAAGAAATCTTCTCGTTTTAGTGTGATGTGCTCATTGGCCTTTGCTTCCTCTGCTCTTCAAAGTAATTACGGAACATGAATAAAAACATGGCTCAGTGCATCAGTCAACTCTATGGATCGACCTTTAGAGCTGCCAGCCAGCATAATACAACATCATTGCCATCGGTCTTGTTGAGTTAGCATTTTTAACTCGGGCTTAACTGGTTTCCATAAATCGATATTCTGGATTTAGCCTGATTGGTCTAAAGATTACGACTATCGCTGTTTTACCACTGATCTACGTTATAATGTTGTTTCCTTATCACAAACAAACCTGGAGTTGTGCTTTGTTTCATTCACACGTTTAACTCAAAACCTGCATATTTAGGTGGACTTCTTCTCTTAGGCCCCATCCACACTAGTACGTATTTGAGTCGTTTTCGTTGCAGATGCAGTGTTCGCCCACTCTAATCCGATGGAAAAAGGCTCCAGAGATGGAATGATCTGGTGCCGTTAGCTCCCACGAATTCATCTGAGTATGGATCTGATCTGGCGCTGCGTGGACTGACGTAGGAGCTCTAGTTGCCGTCCTTATTAGACCATGTCACTGTGACTTGCGTCTTCCTGATTTGCGGGGTTCGAGACATCGGTCATCTGACACTATTGTGGAAAACAGTTTAAATAAACCATAGACTAACAGGAAACAGCGTAGCCATGCTCATCTTAAAACTTTCTCGTTGATACACAAAAAGTCTTTTTTCACGCTTGCCATCTTCCTCGGTTCGAAATCAGCTGCTGCAACTTCAGACATGGTGCTCCACTTCCTTGTTTTTACTGCCCACGTAACGTTGTGATGTCATGATGCCGGCCTAGTCATGTGACTAGCGTTTCAGGCGGTTTCGTGTTACTGTGTGGATAGGGAAGGCTTTTATTGCGAACACAGAAATCATTTCTGATACAGTGATTCATTTCCGATACAGTATATATGTAACCTCAAACTCTCTCTTCTACCTTGTGATATCATGTGTAATCTATGAAGATGATGTTTTTAAACTCCATGCACCTTTATTAGAATCAAAAAACAAGGTTTAACAGAGCATTTGGAGATGTACAGACTAATGATAAAGAGTTATTCAAACATGTGAATGAAACAACACAACTTCAGGTATGGTTTTAAGGAGGTAAGAACATTTTAACATGGCTAAAAGCTCAAAAGAGACAATTTTACATAATATATGACCTTTAAGGGTGAAGGAAATTGACTAAAATAATTGCTGTTCTGACACTATTCTGGCAATCCAATGTGCTTGCCTGTAAATGTCAGATTTGAGGAGCAGGTACTGCACAAAAATCTGAAACAAAATCTGAAAATTTATCAAAAAAGTTCCAAATTATAACTTTTTTTCTCAACTCTTTTTTGCAGCCTGCATATTTCCAAAACAGAAATGACTAAATATTAATATTATACAGTTCTCAATGCATCTGCAACTTCTATTAAGGTAGACAGTAAGAGGTATGGTTTTGGAGATGCTCTGACGCATTCCTATATGGGTTTCGGCATCTTGTTATATGAGGCCATTTTGAGAACGGTTGAACAGTCTAAAGATGTAATATTATGTTTACTATATAACTTCATGATAAAACGTGCTCAAACCCGGTCACAGTGTTATGTCTAATCAGAGTACTGTGTTCTTGGCGTAGACTCAGAGGCTTCGTAAACTGGCCCAGCAGATCACAAACTGTAAGCAGTGCATCGAGAGGTCCACGGCACTCATCACTCAGGCTGACCAGACGCTAAAGGAGACTGATCACGCTCGCTTCCTGCAGACTGCCAAGAGCATCAATGAGAGGTGAGTGGACTTATTAGCACGGTTCGAGCTAGACCCAATGATCGCAATGAAAATAAAGTTGATAAGTGATCATTTTACACATCAACCCTCTCGCCACATTCCAAACACACACAGAAGTACAAAAAACAAAACAAAACACGGCAATCAAACATCAGCTAAAGTCCAGTCTTGTCAAAATAGTCGCAGAGTCATTTCTCATTGCATTTGAAAGGGAAACTAAACACAAAATTCAGCTTTTTCACTACCAAACTGTGTATATTGTGTTTTAGTCTTTTGTTTTGATGGTAATTTTAGAGCAAATGAGGTTAATTTACAGCTTTCTGAATCTGAGTTTGTGGACTTTGCAATTTCAAGTACTATGTGACATCACTTAGGACTGCCTTGATTACAGCCCGGCATTTCAATTTACAAACAAGTGGCTGTGGGGGCGGAGTTTGAAGTGTGGATACCTTTTAGACCAATCACACTGTTCCTTGTACCTATAGACCACGCCCCCTCCTCACTGTCTTCTTTAGTACGACGTTAATGTGTAAGAATTTTGGAAGGGTAACTTGAATATACAACCATAAAAAGTTGTTAACGTCGATAATATTTTTGTAGGGTTTCCATGGCGACCGCGTCAACCCAAGTGCTGATCCCGGAGATAACCCTAACGGACACTTTCGACAGCTTCGCTTTGGACTTCACCAGAGAGAAGAAACTGCTGGAGAGTCTGGATTACCTCACTGGTACAAACATATCTGCACATGACATCACCCTTATAAGTGCATTGTGTAACTTTTCTGATGGATGATGCTTTTCTTCATGGAGATGTTATTGCTGTGTCTGGAATGTTTCACAGTATGGCATTAAAACTTTCTATCTTCATGGAGACTAAAGCCAACCCTACTCACAGTCAGAATGTCTGTTTTTCAAGGTATTTTTGAGCTATAAAACCACTTGTAATTTAATAAATGTAAAGTTGAGCTGTTTAATGTCATACTGTGGAACATTCTAGGCAGATCAATGGCAGATCCATAGAAACAAGCAGGTGATGGACTTCCAACTGAAAAGTTACATAGTGCATCTTTAAGATCCAAGTTGCCCATTTAGGTTATTTTTTTTTACAGCGAATGTCATCCCATTACATTTACGTGTAACTAAAACCCCATTTGAGTCCTGCCCTAGTTTGCCAGATCCCATCAAAAAACGTACAGTTAAAACCTTGCTTCTAAACCAAAACAAAGCATTGCATTGTGGGTAGTGGATGTAGATGTTTAGTGAAAATGGCTGGCTTGTATTCAGGCTGCTTGATAAACGAGGGCTCCGCTGGAGGGCCTCTCCACTAAGTGAATCACTCGCAATTGTTCCAGTAGATTCAGGCTCTCATGACAGCAGCAGGCAGGGCACAAAGACTCCACAGAATGGGAAGAGGCTTGACGGGCAATTGAACCCTCAACCTAACCTTTATATATGGGTTAGAGCACTGGGGGAAAAATAAATAAATAAAACAAACAAAAGGGAATGAATAGTTATCAGTTGTGAATGGGTTTAATCTTAACACAATTATTTACATATTTTTAATGCCAAATAAATGTGCTTTAAAATTGTAACAAAAAATAAAAAAAAAGAAAAAGAAAGAAAAAGGAAAAAAAATATACATAAACATAATTGCAAAAAAATTGTAAAAAAATAAAAAAATAAAATACAATTAAATTACATTGAATTACATAAAATCACATACAATTACATTCAAATTTACAGTTTTGCAGTTTTAATATTTGTGGGGGAATCACTGAAAACACACAGATTATGATTGTCAGAAAAAATGAAATCTTAATTACCTCGATGTACACTACACTTTACATCCCCCCATGACTAAGCAGGGTAAATATAGGCTGCAATGCACATTTACAAATCTCTGCGTGAACGTCATATGACTACTCATCATTGGCAGTGTTTTGAAAGCCCAACCTACCAGTCAACCGGAAAGAACATCTCCCATTTTGTGTCTAATCAAGCTTTGAGTTGAAAAATGTCCATCTGTAAGGTTAAATCTCTGGTGAGGATTTTAGCTTTCCTCTCACTGAAGGAGCGAGCTGTTGGCTGGCTGCCTGGCTGACTCATGCCCATCTCTCTCTCAGCCAGAGGTGGGTACAGGAGCCAAAAAATTTACTCAAGTAATAGTAATGTTACTTCAAAAATGATATTAGTCAAGTAGAAGTACAAAGTAGTGGTTTCATTTACTTACAGAGTAACTTAAACCACGTATTTAATGTATTTACTGTGTTTATATTGCCGGGTGGTACATACGAATTTCATTACAAACTGTACTGCATGCATGTGTGTATGTGATAAAAAAAAAAAGTAAACTATAACTACAACTAAAGAGTAACTATTGGGACGTATCATCTGATTTAAAATTTGGAGTTAGTGTAATGGGAAGGACTTTAAACTTTAAATAATGCACAAACTCAGCCATATTCAGCACAAAAATTTGAAAAACTAAGTCATACCTGAAAAAGCATTGCAATAAAAATAAAAATAAAAAAATCAAATTTCATATTGTCAACATTAAGCTTTTGTCACTTGTATTCTGACTCAGCGATTTTAACTTTTACTCAATGAAGACTACTGTCACTTCAATGAAAACATGACTCAAGTATGAGTAAAAGAATGTTGCTAGAAAAGTATTCCAAAAGTACAATTTCTGATACTCACCCACCTCTCACAGCTCCTACGGCTCCGAGCATCAGGGAGGAGTTGTGTACTGCGTCCTATGACACCATCACCGTTCACTGGACTTCAGACGATGAGTTCACTGTGGTATCCTACGAGCTTCAGTACGCCATCTTCACAGGGCAGGCCAACATCGCAAGTGAGTATATGCAAATCTGGAGAAGTCCTATATGGGTACACTGGGTCAAACTGTTGGTGTTACTTTAATCCATGTTTGAAATAAAACTGTTTATATAGAACGTATTGATAGACCCTCATCTGTTGTAATGTCTTTGTGGTTCATAACAAGATGTGTCATGTGTTAGCCATATTCAGATTTAAAGGTTTACTGCATAAGTTCCACAGTATGGCATTAAAATTGTCTATGTATAAACCAAGTTACAAGTAGATATATGGAATGGCGATCCTGCTCACCGTAAGAATACATGTTTTCAAGGTAGTTTTGAGCACTAAAACACCCATCACTGAATAATTGGTGAATAAATGAATTAAAAGCCATACTGCTTACATACATACTTCTAAGAAAAGTTTAACAGCGGCAAAGTTTTTGTCAGGCCGTATACGAAAGACAGAGTGTGGAGTCAGTCCGCTGTATTCCTGTGACAGACATATAAAAACTCTATTATCAAATATGTCTCCACATATCAGGCACTGGCTCACCTCTGCAGTCTCCAACGTGTTACTCATGATAGGGGGAATTTACACTAGTTGTAGTAGTAATAGTAGTAGTAGTAGTAGTAATAGTAATAGACTTGCCGTGTTTTAACAATATTACACAGAGTTTACATGTGACCCTCAGTTATACAAACCATGCATGAACAACAAAACAGCCTCAAATCTATACTGAGTAGAGTGGCGCAATCATCCGGAGAAACAAATGCACAATCTACAACCTCAACAAAAATAAAATAAAACATACCTTTGACAAACATACAAACATTCTACCAACATGTCTCCATACATCAGGCACTGGCTCTCTGCAAGAATGAAAACAGCACCGCGAGACGGCCGCCCATTTTCACAGCATTCAGTACAATGTTACTATATCAAGCTCACTTTTACAATCCAATTAAAATGTACAAAACTCAAAACTAGTGCACCACAACACATTCATTACAAGTGAAAAAGTTGTCCCATCAACATCTGTTCTTGTAATCATGCTAAAAGTGCGTTGCCCCTGCGAAATACATTCTTTTCTACCCAGACAGAACTCACCCTCTGCAATTTCCAACGCTCTACCGAGAGGGGAAGTCCAACCATCAAAACAGAATACACGTGGGAGCAGCGTGCACCTAAAAAATTCGCATAAATTATAATCAAACATAAAATACACTCAGGAAATAGTAACACGTGCATTTTTATGTCCATTACAAAAGAAAAAACATATCCACAGTGAACCCTCCACCGTCAAAGTTACATAGCGCATCTTTAAATCAATAGGAGGGCACTCAATATAATAGTGGACAAACTTGTGCTTTATTTTTCTTTCATTAATTTTTCATTTTATTTCCCTTTTTTTAATTGAAGAAATGTTCTGATTTCCACTTTGCGATACCTTGAAGCTACGCGTGGGAGATGGTTTTCACGAAGAGCAAACCTGATGTCAGGAATTCACAGTTTTTCTTTTTAAATTGACGCATTACGAGAAAAAAACTACACATATCTTTAAGTTGATATGAATTGCGATGCCCTTACAGTTTTAACCTAACCTTTTTCGAAAGTACAAGCGCAAGTATTCCTCTTTCGCCAATGACTGACCTTTGACAACAGGTAAATGGATGTGAAATTTCTTGACAGCGTAGATTTTTTTTATGTGTCAGATATTAGAAGTACGAAATAAAAACTGCAAATTAAAACTGCCACATTTCAGCTCAGACATGCTCTTAAGAGCTGCCCCGGCATGCCACGGTACATTGTTGTTGTGTTAAGATCTGTCTGCTACACGCTCACCAGGGGCAGGGCATCAGGTAGAGTCGACTGAGCAACAACTAACACGGAGAAATGGGGTCGGCTCGTTTACAGACACCTCCCCTGTGCCCTTTCTATCACTCTACCTTTTCATCCGTCGCTTCTGAAGTCTCATGGATTTAAATAGCAGCCGTAACCCTGTATCCACTTTAACGCTATGCTCTGCCTCCATGGGTTTCTATGGTAACAGTTTGCGCACTTTCACATTTTAGCACCAAAAGCATTAAACTTTTAGCAAACATGCCCTTTATTTTTCTTTCGTTTCGAATGTTTGTTTTTTTATGTATTCGGCTTCTTTAATTTTTTACAGTTCTTTCATTTTTGGTCAGCTCTTTTTGCACTTTCACCAGTGTCAGAAGTGTAAGCACTGCAGTGTTGGCTCCTGGGTTATTTTGAAAGGAAAAGTTAGACAGAAAAGCGAAGATATTAAAAGATTCACTATGCAACTTTCTGGTGTCTATGGAGATGAGGATTTCTATCTTTACTGCATCAATTAAATTACAGATACAGAGATAGACAGGAATATCAGTTGGCACTGCACACTGTTCTGGGTTTTCTTGATTCTCTTAAAGGTTGAAGTTAAATAGAGCAGTCGATGTCCAAATATTGTTGCCATGAATATTATTTTTCTTCATTTATGTAGAGCAGTACAATGTATAGACTATAACTGAGTTTAAAGTAATTTGAAATCATATATTTTGGGGGAAATTATCTAACCAGGCTGGTGCCACCTAGTGCCTCTGCTCAGTTTCCTTTCTCTCCAGCAACTAGGTCGGGAATCAGAATACACTAGACGGTTCGCAAAAACCCCGGAAGTGCAAGTTTGGGCACCAGCCAATCAGCGAAGAGTCATACATTCTGTGTTGTCAGTGATTCCCAAGAACGAGGATTTAAAGGATTTAAAACAAAGAAAATGTTCAGTGAATTTTATCGAGGGGAAAGACGTTATTGCCCTTCTTCCTATGGGATTTGGGAAAAGCTTAATATACCAGTTAGCCCCCGTGAGCAGCGTATTACATACGTCACAACCAAATAGCAGCGATTGGTTAAATGAAAAAAGTACCTGCCTACCATCGAGCGAACTAATCCTAACCCTACGAGATCAGATGGTTTCTACAAAGTGAAACGGGCTGAAGAATCAGACTAGAAATTATCGAAATTGGTCCAAAAATATCAGAACTTATCAACCATTGGCTGATCTGGATTCTCAAATATCGGTATTTACATCAGCCAGGAAAATACCCATATTGCTCGATCTCTAATTACAGGTATTATTATGACTCAAAAGTACCTTGACAAACCTGCATTCTCCACAGATCTAGCTGTATCTCTGAATCCCTGTTGTTTCCAAGGAGATAATGCCATACTGAGGAACGTTCCAGGCAAAGTCGTATAACTTGAAAATAGGTGGTGCTGGACCACTAGAAAAGTTACATACTGAGCCTTTTCGATTTGCTTTTTCTTGAAATGTCTTTATGTTTATATTATCAAATTATTTAGGCCCTTAATGCAGTTTACTTGGCTTCAGTTCATGTTCAGTGAAGCTCTTTCTTTTAGATTACGTAAGCATCCATGGTACTTTGACTCAATTGTAATTTTGCCAAAAGAGGAATTTTAAGTTTTATAAATAATTAATGAGCAATATATCAATTCATAATGGCCCCATAAACTACGGTGATCTTGTAGGGACACATTTACTCTTTGCATTACATTTTACATTGGCTTTTTAGTAGACTATTTACCCAACCATGCTTACAAATTCATAACGATCCATAAAACCCAAACATAAATATCAAAACCCGCCCACCCATAGCCCTTCTTAGTAACACATCATTTTATATAGACTGACTTTATGGACAGCACCTGGCGGCTATTTGTGGACAGTTAAATGCTCCATGTACATTTGAGGGTGGTCCGTTCAGGAAGAGGAAGTCAGTGGACCATATTTGGCTATGGGAAATGGGGCGAAGAAATGGAAGCCACAGAGAGAGGAGGATGGAGAAGAATACAGGTCTGGAGCCAACAACGCGTGAAGGCTTTCCTCTGGTGGACTCTCACCGCTCCTCTGCCTAAAGGGGAGACGACAGCCAGGCACTTAATACAGCTCTCAAAGAGTTCACAACCTCTCGAGGAAACTTTGGTTTGATATTGAGTTGGTTTGTTTTAAGCCAGATGTCATTCCAAGTATCGCTCTTTTAAGGGCTCATATTACGCTGTTTTCTGATCTATGTTCTAATGTTGTTTCGTCATCGCAAACATACTTGGATTTGTGATAATACAGGAAGTACTCCACTGTGTTTTTAAACTTCATTCACCTTCACTAGTATCTTTTGGATGGTTTAAAGTCTGGAATTGCCAGTCTCTACTGAACTAAAGGTAAAAACATAGCTGTTAACTTGAAAACTACCACTTCACAAGGTGGAACAGAGCATTTTGAGCTTTGGAATTGTACAGAGACTAATAATAAAGGGTTACTCAAACGTGTAAATGAAACAAAACACAACTTAAGGTATGAACCCCGATGAAGACTAAGTAGTCGAAACGCATTGTTGTGACAATTAATAAATACACCGCAAATTAGAATGCCTCTGCCATCCTGTTTTCTATTTTACAAAAACTCAAGTCCTCTGGTTTGATGAGCACCCGTATGCGTAAGTTTTGACCCAGTGCAGCACTCCAGTATCGTTATTTTTACAACTTCAAGTATGTTTTTGAGAAGGTAACAGTATTATAACATAGTTTAAACCTCACAAGAGTTATTGAAGTTTTATGATAAAAATACTGACGACATTAAATTGAAATGTGAATAAACAATGTCTGAGTACAATCAGTAATTCTCTACCTAGAAGCGTTTGTTTATCTTTCTGCTCAAACATTTCTTAAAATCCCACTATACGATCAAAATAATCTCTTGACAAGTTCGCAAAAGAAAATAAAAGTTGACCAGAACTGAAGAAGCTGCTTGGATGAGCTATGAAATGCCTTCAGTGAAAAAAAACAAAACAAAACAAAACAAAACTTTTGTTCAGTTAACAGAATTGTATATTTTCTTTTGCTGTAGATCATATTTGGACAACTGAGAGATTATACAGATCTCTTGACAAGATGACTAATAGAAGCAAATAAACTGTTAGTTGCAGTCCCAACATTAACTATAAATGCCAGCATAAGAGAAATCACAGATGAGTCATTGTAACTGTCTTTACTTTCTTACCTTGTCTCCGTTCTCAGGCCTGTGTAACTCCCTGGAGAGTTGGATGATCGTGCCTAATATTAAACAGAATCACTACACTGTGCACGGGCTTCAGAGCGGCACCAAGTACATCTTTGTGGTGAAGGCCATCAACCAGGCGGGGAGCAGGAGCAGCGAGCCTGGGACCCTCAAGACCAACAGTGAGTCTGGGAAAAAGATATTAATATTAGAGTATGACCTTTACCTACACTATACAGGTTTGGTGTTATAGGGAATTAGAGTTGAAGTGGCTCAGTGGTTTGTGTAAATACTGTTGCCCTTTGGAAATCTACACAGCTTAATGTGATATTTGACTTCTTTAGCATAGTCATCTCGTCTATTGATATTTCGACCTTAGTTTTTATCAGGTACTTTTGGCATTTGAAGTATTTCTGTGTTTCATTTGAAAGTAATGACTCATCAGAACCCTGTTGGAACTGAAGTTTTAAGACTTTTAAAAATGTACACTTGGCTGAATTAAATTTCCTTTGTCCATTTCTGCAACAATCTAAAGAATCAATATTGACAGTAAACATTTTTGCAAAAACATCTAATCAAATAAATAGGCCTACATACAGTAGTGCTTTGACATTTTAGACCTTAACAAAATTAATTCTGTAATTTCTGAGAAAGAAGGAACAAAATCCAGTTGACCTCTAATAATATTACTGTGAGTGTAAATGTAGCACTGCTCTGTCTGAAATTCTGTTACTTAAGTTAGACTTCAATCTGAGCTTTGTTTTAACAGAATCTGATTATAAAGAATTGACTTTCAAAGCTCTCAAATAACATTACAGTCACAATCCAGTTAGCATTAGGCACCAAAACAGAAACGAGAACCATGAACACTCTTATTCATCACAGATTCCTGAAAATATGTTGCGTACATCTTAAGTTTTCAGACCTTTGCTAATGTGTGCATTGTGTCACCATTGTATAACTTCTGAACATTCCACCATAGCCCATAGACCACATGTAGAACACCCCCATTGTAATGCCACTGCTAACTATCAATCATAAAGTAACCTCATAGATTTTTGTACCTAAAATATATCCACAGCTATGTATGGCACTGTCTAAAAGTAAAAGTGTCAAGTTTGTTTTCAGTTGGATATGATGTGTTTCTCCAGGTCAGCCGTTCAAACTGGACCCCAAAACAGCCCATAAGAAACTGAAGGTCTCCCATGACAACCTGACAGTGGAGCGTGATGAGAGCACCTCGAAGAAGGGCCACAGTCAGGAGCGCTTCTGCAGCCAGAGCAGCTACGGGGTGGTGGGAAATGTTTACATCGACAGTGGACGCCACTACTGGGAGGCCCTGATCGGAGGAAGCACATGGTGAGCTTTCACAATAAAAGCACAGGGTCATAATGAGGATTTCACAATAACATGCCTAAAGAATTGTTTAATGGTGGCAGTAAGTTTATCTCAAAATGCTGCATGTAAAATGGTTTTAAAAAGTAAGAGGTAACAAGCAATATTTCAAGTTACCTCTTCACATGCTTTGAAATTCCAATTAAAGACAACTTAAATTAATAACCTAAAGTGTGCAAATAAAAAATATGTATATATAATTGAAAACATAAACAGCCTATATATTTTTGCTGCTTTGTTTGTTAAATTTCAGAATTATGAAATGTTAGGATTTTTGCCATAGCAAATAACAATCCAAAATAAAAGAGTACTGTATTTTTCGGACTATAAGGCACACTTAAAATCCTTTTGCGGTGCGCCTTATAATCCAGTGCACCTTATGTATTCATTCTGGTTGTTTTTACTGACCTTAAACCAATTTTATGTGGTACACGGCGCTCAAAAATCTGTCTAAATATTTTAGTACAACTTTGGTAAGCTATGAAGTCACAGCGCTTAATGGATTGTTGGAGCATTACGGCTACTGTAGTCAGGAGCCTTGCAGAGTTAGTCCAACAGAAGCTACCGCATCAGCGCACAAGGAGCGAGCTGTTTTTTCCGTGCTTATTATTTATGCATATTAGCCTTGTGATTTTAAGTTTTGTTTCTGTAAAATGTAAACAAATGTGCCCAAAGCTGCATTAAACACATTATTACCCAATGTATATTTGACTCCTGCTCATAGGAAATAAAAAAAAAAACTTAAATTATCCACCCACATTCACATTCATAATACACATTCACCATAACAGGGAGGCAACGCCAGGATCATGGATGCCTGGTCTAAGGGATCAGTCTCAAGTGCCGTCCGTTTGTTTCATCTAATGTGCCTCATAATCCAGTGCGCCTTATGTATGAAAACAGATGAGAGAATTCAACATTATAGAGTTTGTACCTTGTAATCCGGTGTGCTTTATAATCTGAAAAATACGGTATATTTTTGAATTGCCAGCTGTCCTCAAGTCAAAATAGGTATCCTATAACAGAAAGCTAAGACCTATGGATAAAATAATACTGGGTTTGATTGGACCATAAAACAAAATCATTCTAAACTAATTCAAATTCAAAATACTTCTCAATACTTTTACTAATTTTACACTCGCCAAATTTTCCTGGATTTGTTCTTGGATTTTCTGCTAATATTATCCAATTCTTTGTCATTATCCAGGTCTACTTTATGTTATGTATATTTTACTATATAGTCCAGTGTTCTTCACTTTGAAATACTCTCTTTGTAGGTACGCTGTGGGCATTGCCTACAAATCCGCCCCTAAGCACGAGTGGATTGGGAAGAACTCAGCTTCGTGGGTGCTCTGCCGCTGTAATAACTCCTGGGTGGTCCGTCACAACAGTAAGGAGCTGGCGATTGAACCCTCACCTCACCTGCGTCGCGTTGGCGTGCTCTTGGACTATGACGCCGGATACATTAGCTTCTACGACGCCGTGGGCTCCCAGCATCTCCACACCTTCAATGTGTCATTTGTGCAGCCCGTGTGTCCGGTTTTCAACGTGTGGAACAAGTGTCTGACCATTCTGACCGGCCTGCCCATCCCTGACCATCTGGAGGCCGTAGAACCACACAGCTAAACAATAATGCAATGTTATAGTTAGATCAAGCATAACATTATGACCACTTACCAATCAATTACAGACTTATCGACATATCATATTCGTACATTTGTTCTTCTTTTCCTTAAGCCGAGACACTGCATCTACAGTTAGAAATGAATTGCTTTTTTAGTGCTGAAAAGGCAAAATTTGCACTTTATTGGACATAAAAATCAGAAAATAGAGAGCCTGGTTAAATTTCTTTCTTCATTTTGTTGACATATTAGATACAAATTAATTCAAAGAGAGGATTTCAAATGCCTTTTTAGTTTTTGCGTAAACTAGATCTTTCTGATGATCAAATTTCAGCTAATTTTCTTTATTAAAATGTTAAAACTTCAATGAATCATGCTTGGAATTAGATATAAGCAAATTTGTCTTTGTGATCCATCAAAATCTTATCTTTAAATACAAGATTGTAAAATTTTGTGTACGCAAGTGCTACTTTGATGGGCGATCTGCATGTGCCTATGAGAGGAAAAAGTGAAGTTAGATATTGCAAATAAATCTATGGATGGAAGTTGAAGTTTTCAGGTGACAGCTGAGTGAGCAAACTAACCAAAAAACTAAAAACTGTATGTGTCTCACCATAAGCATTTAACCAGCATTAGCATTATTATTTATGTACATTTCCACCATTGACTTTATTGGACAGGACAGCTCCAACTAGTACAACACTTTTTTGAATTAATTTTGACCAATCGCAACACATAAGAGCAATTCTATTCCCCTTTTCACATTTTGTTATGCTCATTTGATCAACTTTGAGGACAAGTTACAAAATATAAATCCACTCATTAGCAGTTGCCATGTTTAAGAGATTGTGATGATCAGTCAATTCCATTCCAGATTTTCCTTCTTACCGACACTCCACACACCTGTCTCTACACCTGAGCCCATCACCTCTTCACACAGATCTCCCTGGACAGATCGCGTCCCATTCCTGTTCACTTCTGTCTCCTTGATTCCTAAGTTCTTGCTCAGTGACAATATAGGGACACAGAAGAAGAAAGACAAGTTCCAATTGGTTTACTAGGTGAGACTGAAGGTTTAGGGATCAGGGAATGAAGAAGTTAAGGAGGTAAGTGAGCAGAGATTGAATGCAGACTATTTTATAACAGTTTCATAGCTCCTTTTTGTCAGAATGTTACGTCACAAACCAGGAATACGTTTAGAAAGATGCGCTTACAAATTTCGGTGTAGTTACCGACACTGGGCTCACCAACCGATTGTGATCGTAAATGTGATCAGTGGTAAAATGAAGACTGCATACGTATGTGCTGTTTGTAATCATCTTGAATTTGGCGCCCGAATCTCTTCTAATCGCATGTACCCAATGCGCTCAGAGTTGTGCGTCAGTGGGGAAATTATGAAAACTGAGGTATGGTTGGAATTGTTGATTAGCCAAACATAACAGAATGACAATGACATTTAGATGAAGAAAACTGGGACATTTTCTCATTTTTCCTAGAACAGAACCCGCCAGAAGTTATAATCGCGTCTTTCCAAACGTCTTCCTGGATGTAAATGTGAATAGAGCCTATTGATAAGTAAAAATTTTGAAGCTTTTTTGACTTTAAATTTTACTGTTTTTGACAAAAATCGTTGGTCATGTGGTCATCATGTTATGCTTGGTTTGTACATTTAAATGGACATTTCTCATCACCATAGACTGTATAAAGAAGTGGACTAAGGGAGTGTGACGTCACCCATAGCGTTCGGCTCCAGTCAAATGAAGCTCATCGAGGCTTGCGGTTATAGGAGCGAATTTGGAGCCAGGGATTTATTTACGGACAAAAAAGTGAAATAAAAATGCCAGGGTCATGTAGAGCGGGTTCATACGAACATTTTAAAATCAAAATGACAAGGCTCACAGCAGCAGTTACAGAGAGAGTAAAGAGAATTTTTCAATGTAAAACAAATTGGAGCCAGAGTCGATGGAGCTGGAAGTAAAAGTCCATTTACATATACAGTCTATGCTCATTACCTAGCTAATTAATAATAAAGTTAGCCAATGCTACATACTGGCGTTGAGCTATACTGTCGGCTACAGAACCAGCAAATCCATATAGCATTTCTTCTTTGTACGTCTTAAAAGTTTAGCATGTGAACTAAAATATATTGTGTATTATTGTTTCATGAGAAGTTTTTTGATTAAATATTTTTTCCAATGTAGATAGCGGACAGAGTATATGAAACGCACTTTGGCAATAACGGGAAACAAAAGTCAAAACCGCGACTCATTCTTACGCATTATTTGAGATTGCACTTTGAAACGAAAATCTAAATTTGTACAAACACAATATGAAATCGTCAAGGTTGCTGAAATGAAAACGTGTATATTTTGTAAATGCGTTTCGCCCTCATCCCTTTGTTAATAAAATGGAACCAAAGTAGCCATTTCCGTCTATGAAGATGTCTTTACAGAAAAATAAGTTAATATTTTTAAAACGTGAGAAAGAGGAAATTTAACAGGATCTGATTCCAGTTAATGTAGTTTTGTTCTTTGCACATTGTTTATAGTTTTGTAGAGAATGCCTGACATATTTTGGTGCAATCGACATTTTATTGTGTGATCTTTGGCTCGTCTTGTTATAATAATTCATTGTAACTGTCGCATATTCGCATATTTTTTTTAAATTGAAAGCTTAAAGGTGCACTGTGTAGCTTTTCTAGTGGACTTAGACAAACTTGAATGATCCACATGGGAAACTATTTGGACACAGTAGCTCACACATCACAATATAATATAAAATAATAACAAAAAGCAACAATATAAACTGTAATAAATTCAAAATAAGTAGCAAAAATAACAAGAGACTGTGTCAAATAAGGCATAATTATACAACGGAATGTTCCAAAATGTGGCATTAACTTGATTAATCTAACATTTATTTAATTTTAGTGCTTTTAATGCTCAAAAATATTCATACTATGAGTAGGATCGCCTCTCTGCAGATCTGACCTGTAACTTGGCCTGTCCCGTCAAAGCAATAACATTCAGTGATGTTCCCTCTTTCAGAAAAGTTACCTAGTGCACCTTTTAAAGTGAATATTTGGCCATTTCGACATTTTTATCGTCAAATTTTGTGTCATTATTTTTTGGGAATATTTTTTGCAACTTTAAACGGGCTGTATCCAATTTTTTCATGTAATAAAGATTTTTTTTTAACCCAGTACAAACAGCTATAGGGTCAAAATGAGATTGCTGTGCGCTGTCTATGAAACAATGTGGTTTTAGCGTCCATGAACCAGGAAGGAAGGCCTGTGCGCTGTTAGCATGCTAGTTGCTGTAAGCATTAAACCATAACAACAAAATTCCACTTTAGCCTCTGAAAGTTGCGCTTATAAACCCAGTTCAGAATACATTACAAAAGTGAGGAAGAAATTTAAATTGTTGCAAAGTGTTTAAATTGAAAATAATTTAGTTTTTCACTGTAAAAATCAGACACAGTTCCAATTGTGGCTGTTGTTTGCTCGGTAATTGGACTTGATACACACAATTTCAACATTTTTATAGTCAAATTTTGTGTCATTATTTTATGGTAATAGTTTTACAACTTTAAAGGCATTGTAAAATTAGTTTTCATTTGATATATTGGGGTCAAAATGAGACCACCGTGTTCTGTCTGCATCAAATTATAAAGTACTTTTATTATCGGCAAACCATGATGTAGGGATGGTGCACTGTTGGGATGCTAGCTGGTGGTATCATTACAGTGACAGCAAAACTCTACTGTGAATGCGTTTTTATCTTGTGTGAATCAGGAAGTAAGGATGCTGCACTGTTAGCATGCTACTTGTTTTTAGCATCATACATTGACAGCAAAACTCTGAACGTGTTTTTATCTTGCGTGAACCAGGGAGTAACGCTACTCAGGTGTCGGCATGCTAGTTGTTTTTAGCATCATACAGTGACAGCAAAACTCTGAACGTGTTTTTATCTTGCGTGAACCAAGAACTAAGGCTGTTGCGCTGTTAGCACGCTAGTTATTTTTAGCAACATACGGTGACAGCAAGACTCTACTCTGAACGTGTTTTTATCTTGTGTGAACCAAGAACTAAGGCTGCTGCGCTGTTAGCACGCTACTTGTTTTTAGCACCATACAGTGGCAACAAAACTCTACTCTGAATGTGTTTTTATCTTGCGTGAACTGGGAAGTAAGGCTACTGTGGTGTCAGCATGCTAGTTGTTTTTAGCATCATACAGTGACAGCAAAATTCCACTGCGGCCTCTAAAAGTTGTGCTTATAAACTCATTACAGTGAATAATTAGGATACGGGGATTGCATTAGGAAAGTAAGGAATACATTTGGATCGCTGCAAACTGTATAAAATGAAAATAATTCTGTTTTTCGCTTAAAAAAATCAGGTACAGGGCCTTTAATTAGCCATAAATACTGCATTAACCGTTTGTAGACAGCCTCAATAGTTGTCAACACAGCTGAAAATGCATACTTACAAGTTGTTTGCTGGGTAATTGGACTTGATACATGCCAATTCATTTAGTGCTACTGTTAATAAGAAGCTGTTTCATTAGCATTTTAATAGCACTCTTCTGCATCTGCTCCTTTATAATTATAACATCATTTAAAGTCTCATCAAAGTCAAGGGAAGTTTAAGCCGGCATGTCAAGCAAGACGAATTATACGATTTTGACAGTGTAAATAAGATTCGCTAGTTTACCTGGTACTTTCTTTTTTAAATGTTATGTCAGAGTTTTGGGGTTTTTTTCCATTGTAAAAATTCAAATATAAATGTGTTTAATTTAATGTTTCTATTTGCTGACCATGATAACGCTGTGTGTCCATTACATTACGTTACATTACATGGGAACTGAGTGCTTGCAAATGTGCTGTGTGGACTATGGGAAAGGGTTGGACAATAAAATATATTTGTTTTCAAGATGGAGTGTGGTTTGTTAATAAAAACAACTTGCATATTCAAAATTAAAGCTGTTCTATGTAACTTTCTGATTG